TGGGGAAACTAACTTTTCTCTCAATCTACCCGATGGTTTTCACTCAAATAAAATCTGTTGGAAAGAGGACTCAGACTTCTAAATTTTGACAGATGAACCAACACGAGATGATTTTTTTAGAATTTTATAAAATTGCTAAAAGTGGACTGTTTTTCAGAGATTCAGGACCAGATTTTTCAACAAATTATCCAAGCCCTAAAAACACACAATTAGGAGCTAATAAAATTTTCACAAGCTCTAAACACATAAAATATCCTATAATAAATTCAGATTTGAGAATTAGATAGATTTGATATTTCTTTTAAATTAGAGAAGTTGTAGCAGTGCCTAATTTCACAAGTTTGCAAGACAATGATACTATTTCATACCTACACCTTCACACACACCAAAAACACCCTATTTACCATCAATTTGTAACACAAGAGGCATACTAGACCATAGAATGAGATGATGAAAGGATTGGAGAAAATAAGGAAGAGGCATGTTCTTACCTTCAAGAATTCCTTCTCTTTCCCCTTTTTTTTTCTTCTTCTTCTTACTTCTCTACCTCCCTTCCCTTGAGCCAACTCTCCCTCTCTCACCCTCTCCTTGGGCTTCAGAAAAACGTGGGAGTGGATTTGGACAAGCCCTCAATTTATATAATATAAGGTAGCTTAATGGCTAAGAGAACTAAATATCTAGATAGTTATTTTTTTATTTTATTTTATTTTTGTTTGTTGTTATCCAATCACTTTTCCACCAACATATTATATATATATGTATATATGCATATATTTAAACTATGTATATATCCAAATAAACAATAGTATTCCATTCAAATAAATAATAAATGAAAGAACAAAAAAAAAAAGAAAAATAGAAATAAAATAAAATGCGTGAATTAATTTAGAAATTATGAGGCAAAATAAATAAAACCAAGTTTTAGGATAGTTCCAATCATAAAGTGGCATTCTATAATTTAATTATGGTAACACACAGAGAAGTTATTATTTACTTGGGCCCTTACGCAGACTTTTACGGAACTAGGGCTAAAATGCTATTAGCCTAAGGCTCAGGGTTTCAAGTGTAATGACAAAAAAAATTAGGGTCTCTACAACCTATCCCCCTTAAATAAATTTCGTCCTCGAAATTAGATCATACCTTACGTCTCAAATAGTTGTGGATAATTTGCCCGCATCGCGTCTTCACGTTCCCAGGTGAACTCTTCAATACCATGGTGACGCCAAAGTATCTTAAGAAGGTGAATTGTCTTCCCTCGCAAGTTCTTTTCTTGACTATCTATAATTGCTACAGGTCCCTCTTCAAAGGTAGCGTCCTCATTGAGTTGGATTTCTTCCCAGTTGATGATGTGAGAAGGGTGCATTATGTACTTTCGTAGCATAGATACATGGAAAACATCATGTACTCCAGCCAACTGTGGGGGTAAAGCCAACTTGTACGCAACCTCTCCGATTTTCTGAAGTATCTCGAAGGGTCCAATATATCGAGGTGATAATTTTCCTTTCTTTCCAAAACGAATGATCCCTCGGTGGGGCTGGATTTTCAGGAAAACATAATCACCGGCAGCGAAGGTTAGCGGTCTTCTCCTTTTATCTGCATAACTCTTCTGACGATCTTGAGCTGCCACTAATCTTTGTCGAATAAGTTTCACCTTTTCTGTAGTTTCTTGCACGATCTCTAGGCCCAATAGACTCACTTTTCCAACTTCAGTCCAACAAACTGGTGATCTATAAGGCCGACCATACAGTGCTTCGAATGGAGCCATGCCAATACTAGCCTGGAAACTATTGTTGTATGTGAACTCTACCAACGGTAGGTGTCGCTCCCAATTTCCCTTGAAATCCATCACACAAGCTCTTAACATGTCCTCCAAAGTTTGAATGGTACGTTCCGACTGTCTGTCAGTTTGAGGATGGAATGCGATACTGAAACATAATTCGGTCCCTAACGCTTCCTGTAAGCTTCCCCAAAATCGGGAGGTGAAACGCGGGTCCCGGTCGGACACAATTGATACAGGAATTTCGTGTAATCGGACAATTTCTTTAATGTAGAAATGACTCAGCGATGTCAAAGTGTCGGAGATTTTATATGGCAAAAAGTGCGCAGTTTTCGTCAAACGATCAACTATAACCCATATAGCATCATATCCTCTCGGTGACCTGGGTAGTCCAGTGACGAAGTCCATTGTTACATGCTCCCATTTCCATTCTGATATCGGCAAGGGCTAAAGCATCCCTCCAGGTCGCTGGTGTTCTGCCTTTACTTCTTGACACGTAAGGCATCTGGCTACGAATTGATCCACATCTTTCTTTATTCCCCTCCACCAATATTGACGTTTTAAGTTTTGGTACATTTTCGTCCCTCCTGGGTGCACTGCGAACACTGAATGGTGGAACTCCTTCAGAACTTTTTCTCTAAGCGACTCATCTTGTGGTACCACCACTCTACCCTGATGTCTCAAACTTCCATCTGAATGAATCATCCAATCAGATATAGAATCGCCGGATGCTATTCGCGCTTTTAAGAACGCCACTTCCTGGTCATACTTCTGTGACTCTATTACCTCGTTCAGTAATTTGGGTGTAGCGATTTGAGCGCCAAGGTATACTTTCTTGTCCTGAGCTTTCATCTGTATTCCAAACTCATTAAGTGTTCCGACCATGTTCCATTCCTTGAGTGCTAAGCTAGCAATAATTCCCCGGTTCTTGCGACTCAGGGCATCCGCCACCACGTTAGCTTTGCCAGGATGATAGGATAGAGTAAAATGGTAATCTTCGAGGTATTCTAGCCACCGTCTCTATCTCATGTTCAAGTCCTTCTGCGTGAACAAATACTTCAAGCTCTTATGGTCCGTGAAAATCTCAAATTGTTCACCATACAAATAATGACGCCACTGCTTTAACGTAAAAACCATTGCTGCCAACTCTAGATCGTGTGTCGGATAATTCTTTTCATGCAGTTTCAGTTGCCTGGAGCCGTAAGCCACCACCTTCCCTTTTTGCATTAGTACACAACCTAGCCCATCCTTGGACGCGTCACAATATACCGTATATCCTATGTCTTGCTCCGGAATGATGAGTATTGGGGCACTAGTCAATCTGCTCTTGAGTTCTTGAAAGGATTGTTCACATGCTTCGTTCCAATCGTATTTTACCCCTTTTTGCGTTAAACGAGTCATCGGCTTAGCTAGTTTAGAAAAGTCTTAAATAAACCGTCGGTAATAGCCGGCCAACCCTAAGAAACTACGAACTTCGAATACTGAGGTTGGCTGCTTCCAATCTAATACTGCTTCCACCTTGGCTGGGTCTACAGCGATTCCATGCTCCGACACGATGTGTCCCAAAAATCTAACTTCCTTCAACCAGAACTCGCATTTACTTGCTTTTGTGTACAGCTGGTTGTCTCTTAATACCTGGAGAACTACTCTCAAGTGTTGCTCATGTTCTTCTTCCGACGGTGAATAGACTAGAATATCGTCGATAAACACCACCACGAACTGGTCCAAGTACAGAGTAAAAATCTTATTCATCAAGCTCATAAACACGGCTGGTGCATTGGTTAATCCAAAAGGCATTACCACAAATTCGTAATGGCTATATCGGGTTCGGAAAGCAGTTTTTGGTATGTCATCATCAGTGACCCGCAATTGATGATCGCCAGATCTAAGATCAATCTTTGAATAACACTTCGAACCTCGAAGTTGATCAAAAAGGTCATCAATCCGTGGAAGTGGATATCGGTTCTTGATCGTCACCCGATTGAGTTGCCGATAATCTATGCACAATCTTAGTGTTCCATCTTTTTTCTTTGCAAATAGAACTGGTGCGCCCCACGGTGAGGAACTTGGTCGGATAAATCCCTTTTCCAGTAATTCTTGCAGTTGCGTCTTCAACTCCCGAAGTTCACAGGAGCCATACGGTGTGGTGTCAGGGATATTGGTACAGTACCCGCTTGTAACTCGATACTAAAATCTACTTCACGATGTGGCGGCAATCCTGGCAATTCCTCAGGAAAACATCAGCGTATTCACAAACTACACGTGGAAGACTTAATTCCGATTGAGCTTCTTCATTAATGATCAAACTTGCTAACCATCCACAAATTGTCGACACCACTGCATTTTACGATTTGTCGTGCTCAGGGAATCCTCTCTATCCCCCTTAAATTGGAAACACGTTCACTGGGTGTGCAAACCGTCACCCTCTTGTGGTAGCAATCAATCACTGCTCGGTGGCGGATAACCAATCCATTCCCAAGATTATGTCAAAATCGGACATGTTCATGACCCGAAGGTCACAACTCAAGTGTAACCCTGACACTTCTAATTCACACCCTCGACAGATTAATCCTACCCTAATACTTCCTCCCAAGGGTGATGCAACACGTAAAGTAGTTTCTAAAGGTTCACATTTAAGACCTAATGATTTAACACATGATGTTGATATAAAAGAATGTGATGCGCCAGAATCGAATAGAATGTGAACCCAAGAATTATAGAGTACGATGTTACCTCTAATTACTGATGGATCTTCATTATCTTCCTCTTGGAGAGCAAAAACTCTGCCTGTGGCTTTTTGATTACTAGTTGGTCCAACCTTTCGGTTTCCTCCTGACTTGTGTCCATGGCCTTTGCCGCCAATAACTTGAGCATTTGCGCTTGAACCCCTGCTTGATTTCCCATCCCAGAAAGTTGGGGACATTCCGACTTCTTGTGCCCTATCTGATGACAGTGAAAGCATTGGATTTGTGTAATAGGCTTGGTTTGTAACTTCCTTTCTGACTTTGCTGTTGCGGCTGTTGCGACGGTCTGGTGTATGGTGTCCGTACCACATTCCTTCGGTCATTTCTTCTTGGCCCTACAAAGGACTGACCCTTTCTTCGTTTTTATCATCCAAATCCTTTTTGAGTCTGCACACTCTCTTTCTGTATCCAATGCCGTATCCACCAATCAGCAAATGTATGGAGGCGCAAGGGTAACACTTTACCTCTAATAATAGGGTCTAAACCCCACTCGAATTTTCGTGTTTCTCTTCCTCATCTACGACGTATCGAGCTGCGTATCGAGCCAGCTCTTCAAACTTGGCCACATACTGAGTCACTGACATCTCACCCTGTTTCAAAGTTTGAATTGCCAAATTCGCTCTTGTCTAACTGTGTTTGGGAAATATTTTCTTAGAAACAATTCTTTGAACTGAGCCCAAGTCATGCTTGTCGTGTCCCGAGAATTTTTCATCAAAGACCA